TAACCTGGGCCTGCACGACATGGCCCACCAGATGGAGGAGGTGCAGGTAAGGAGAGCCCGGAGCCCTCGGCAAAGCGGGACAGGCGCCGTGTCCTCCCGCACATCCCATCCCCGTCCGTGCAGAGAAATCCGCGTTTTGTCCCCTTCGCCCCTCGGGGTGCGGGTGCGCGGGAGGGGATGGGTTTCCCTAAACCCTCTCGGCTCTTCCAGGTGCGAAACTTTCTCCCCCTTTCTCTTTCCAGAATGTGGAAGATCAACACTTACTAATGCATGACCAGACAGTCATTAGAAAAGGTCAGTAAGGTGGCACCGCAGTTTTACTTTCCCTTGTCAATAGTTAAAAGTTTCATGACGCGCCGATGAAGTGACGCCCTGTTATTTTTATAAAGAACGATCCTTTGGGATCGGGAGGGCAGAGGAGTTTTTATTCCATTCTTTGTCGCTGGATTTTTTTTGATGCTGTCCGAAGGACAAACTGCCCTGGGCTGTGAGACACGGCTGTCCCCCCTCGTGTGCTCTTGTGTTGTGGCTTTAATCGGAACCAGGACCTTGAACCGATTTTAATCTTTCCTGAAGTACGTGTGTGTAAAGTGACACGGGACTTTTGTTTGTTTGTTTGAGGTTTTTTTGTTGCTGATAGCACTCGAAGATAGTTTTGTTTTTTTTTTCCCCAATTTTTTAACCTCTTTACAAGTCTTGAGAAAAGACCGAGTTCGCTGGCAGAAGACTGTTTGGCTTTATCTTAATCGAAATTGGTTTGTAGCCGAGGTTTTGAGGAAGGAGGAAGACGTATTGACTCAATTTACAGTAATTTAGTTTTTTTTCCTTGGTTTTGTTTTTAAACAAACTTGTGCTTGAAAAAAAAAAAATCAGAAGTTTCCTCTGAAGACTTCAAACAAATACCTAACTGAGGAAAAGCAGAAGTGTGTGTCAGAGCGCTGATTGCTGCCTTTAGCTCATGGGAGAATAATTTTGCTGTCAGATGCACCACTGACAAATCTTCCCCCTCCGGGAGTGGGGCCGACCTCGGCTCTTTAACCCTTTCAGCAGCAGAACCGGGCGGATTCGCGAGGGGATGGAAAAGCCGGATCTGTGGTTTGCTCCTCCAAAGCCTTTGTTGTCCCTCCTCACCCAAAGGCTGAAGCTCTTAACGAGGAGCAGCTCCTTTACTTTCGGTTCTCCCCTGGGCTGCGTCCCTCCCTGTAGAGCTGCTCTCTGGTAGGAATTTGTTTGGGATTAAATTCCGAGGGCGGTTTCTCAAATCTGCGTGTGCGAGGTGGAAGATGAAGCCCAGCAGGAGCCGGGAGGTTTCTCCCTGCCCTGGCTCGGGAAGAGTTTTGGCAGTAGCTGGAGGATGCTAATTTGGAGTCTGCTGGAGCGCGGAGTTTTTGTGAGCGCGGCTTTGCTACCTTGCAGCCTGCTGGTGTGGGGTTTGTGTGCTTTGAGAATCGTTCTTGGTTGTGTTCGGCAATCCAGTGGCAAAATCCAGCTGGTCAGGAATAGTTTTGGGGCCCTTTGGGTGGATGGATGTTGGGGATGGGGGCAGTGATGTGAGCATTTAACACCAAACAAAATCCTCTCTCCCAGCTTGTTTTTATAGAAAAAACCCCACTTGCCACTCTCTATTTAATTTCCCCTTTTATAAAATCCCTGTTTTCCCTACTCCACCCTCAGGTCCCATCTCCCTAACGAAGAACAGCGCTCTGAGCCTGCCGTGCCAGAAGGATGGCTTGATCGGGGTGGTGATCAACCCCAACGAGGTGTTCTGCTCCGTGCCGGGCCGCCTGTCCCTGCTCAGCTCCACGTCCAAGTACAAAGTGACGGTGGCAGAGGTGCAGAGGCGGCTCTCGCCCCCGGAGTGTCTCAATGCCTCCCTGCTAGGAGGAGTCCTGCGAAGGTAGGATGGACCCTCCCTGCCCTGCCAGCCTCCCCCTGTGCCCTGTTTGT